CCTAAAAATTATGGTTTGTCTGAGCAATGACAATTTATAGTGAGTAATTGATGTTTAATTTTGGAGTTTATGTGGATGGGTGTGTGGATAAAATAGAGATGAGAAGATACCGAGACAAAATGTGTCACACTAGGGAAAATTCAGGATTTTTAAAATATTGCCTTATAAAATTAAGAACTTATAACTTATATACTATTAAAATATGGATTATTAGCTAAGATTTTATGCTATACTAATTGGTATAAAATAAAGTAGTTTAATAAAATATTGAATGCAAGACACTAAGACCTTGTGTCATGTGGGGAAAGAGGATTAAATAACTAAAGGAATACAACCATACAGTTTTCAACATCTTGTAGGCCAACGCAAACAGTTTTTATTCACATTTCTTTTTTTCACTCCAGTGTAAAATGGCAACTGTGCAAGAATAAGCTCAATGTGATGTTGGGCTTGCAGGGTGGGCCAATTCTGTGGCCTCTGCATTTGCCAGACAGCACTCCACTAGACTTCTTTCTGTGTGGGTATGTTAAGGACATTGTGTATTGCACACCTTTAGCAAACATCATGGAGTTAAAGACCAGGATAACAGATGCCATCATTGCTGTAATTGCGAGCATATTGCAGCAAATGTAAATTGAAATTAAATATCAGTTAATCATGCTGAGAGCCAGTAATGACGTACATGTAGAAGTCTACTGACATGTCAGTGAAAACTGTTTGAGTTGGGCTACACGATGTTGAAAACTGCATGGTTTTACTCTTTTGTTAATTGATTCTTAAATTTTAAAATACAAAATATAATTTTGGACCACTGTATACTTGTGATTTTTCTAGTGGAGTTTTGCCATATATCTGTGTTCAAATAAATATACTTGTTTACAGAGGGAGAGAGAAGAGGAATTAATCAAAGCAGCTTTGGACCAAAAGGCAGAACGCCGAAACAAGTGGAGTTCTATAAGTACTCGGGCTATGCAACAAGTATGTGCTTGCTAGAATCTATTTGTAACATTGTCAGTTTGCTTTTATAATCTTTTGACAAATTAACTTGTCTATCTCAAAATTTATAAAAAGTACATGAGTTACATGTATGTTAATTAAAGCTTTACTGAGATACACCATCTTGTATGGTATGTGTGGCTAAAATAACTAAGTTAATTTACTGTAAGGTTTACTGTGTTTGAAATATTTGTGTATAAATACTTTCAATCACACTTAAATCAGAATGGGGTGATGTAGCCCTCAGATTTTAACATGAAGTAAATTTATTGCAGATTAAACTTAACTACCTGTTTTAACTTTATATTTTTAATAATGCAACTGAGTTTAGAAATTTCATTTGTACAGGTATGTCAATGAATTTTGTTATCCAGTTAAACTATGTTTTTATGTCCTTAACATAACTTTTGGATTGTGGTTTTATGTAGAAAATTGTAGTTTAAATCTGTTTTATTTGTATTTAGGCAAGTACTTCAAACATTCCGTCAGTAGATGAAGCTTATGATTTTTTTACTCGTGCCTGGAGTCCAGAACCACAGCCTCTTCCCAAAGGTCACGAATCACATGAAGTTAAACAAGAACCATCATGTTCCTCTGCTGCACCACACCTTTTACCTTCCAGTCAAGAAAATGAGAATGATAACTGTATCGTAAATATTGAAGGCAAGGACAAAATACTAAAATTTTATATAGATCAATTACTATCTGCCATGAAAATTCCAAAGCAGTATGAATTATATTGTCTATAATTTTTTTTTATAAAATCCAAAGGAATATGAATTCTTTATTTTATTCTCTTAACAAACAATACCTTTTACAGTTTCAGAACAGTTAGTACATCAATAAAAATCTAGCTGATAAAGATTCAACAGTGTGAGTAATGAACAATGAAAATATTGCAAATGATTCTAAACAGTGGTGGTGGAAGCATTTTATTGTTACAAGGCTTTACTAAAATCATTGGCTAAAACAATGAAAATTTAGAATTGAAGGGAAGAAAAGTAAATCAGGAGAACAGAGCTCAAATGTGGCAGAAAAGTGCCCTAAGGAAAAGAAGAAAGGATATAAGAAATAGGTATCCAGGAAACTAACGATTACTTTTCCTTCCTCTCAATAAAGTGACAAATTTGTCAGACATTTATATATTTTGTAAACCTGAAACACTCAGTGGTTTAGTTTCCAGTGAACTTATTTGCTTTCTGTATTTGATCTGTCTGGTATGTTCTGTAATTGTGTATATTCAACAACATTATATGATTCAACCTGTTTTAATTCATTGCTCATCTAAGAAAATCTTCATTTTTGAAATATCATCAAATGACCTCTTTGTATTGGATAATTCATTGGGATATACAATTTTGAAAATCTTTAATAATTACTTTTTTGAATATTTTGTAAAGAGATTGAAGTAACTTGGAAAGTAAAGTAGGGGAAATGATGTGGCATATTCTGATTCTCAGAAAAATTTCCTTTAGGTGTCTCTTTGATGAGAAATTCTTCACATTTTTGATAATGTCAATAACTATTATGTTCAAAACAGTTCTATAGAAGTCAGTGCCCTTATAGTATATCTGGCTGTAATTGTTTCTTCACTGTTTTGAAACACTTAGGATTTGTTGTCTCTCTTTCAAACATTGCTAATGTTTTTTAAATTTTTTTTCAGAAAAAGTTCATTAGCATTCAATTGATTTCCTTTTGAACAGTACTCTATCAAAAAAGAAAGGAGTGAAACCCCTTATATAAGTAGTACTTGGGTAATCTCTATGATGTAACAAAATCTTGTCAAACACTAAAGCAAAGAGAAACTTATATTGCAACACATGAACTTGCATTCTTGTGATATGTACTTGGAAATGAGAGTCACTGTAGTTCTCAAGGGGTAATTCCCATAGTTATTACAAAGAATTATAGTTTTAAATTATAACTTTATATTGCTTAGGCAATCCAGCAGTTAGGGCAAAGTAATCTTATTCCATAAATATTTTCTTTATAAGCTCTCATGCTTGTTTGGATATTTTTCAGCCAATAATCATGTTTTGTTGACTTTTATTAATCAGTCTCTAAACCACCTTTATTACATTTAAAATTATTAATATTTTACAACAAATGAGAGTGAAAGCATGCTCATTGAATGGGTACACAAATACTAAGGCCATTTCTCTTTTAAATTTGATAGCAATGCCATTCCTACAGAAGGTTAATTGCAGTTTATAAGAATACCAAAATATACTAATGTGTAACAAATAGTCCTGTAGGCTAGTTGTTGGAGCTCGACTTTACCACCAGTCACAGTAGATTTATATTAAATCCAGGTATACAGTTGCGAGTGGAGTACAAAAGTCACTAACTTGAGGAAGTTTACAGCTCTGGAGAGAAATTTTCTACACTGGGGAGAACTAACTATCCTGGTTCCAAACAGGGGTTCTTATACTAAATCTTTTTGGTATCTTTACGACTTTCCAAGTAGTGTAAACATCTACCCGCAAGTAGGTCTGACACTTAATTGTTTGATTTTTGCAAACTCATCATGATTCTCAGAACCAAAAACAAAACTACTCTGATGAATGGTTACAGCTAAATATGGTAAATTGGCAGGCCACTTGTTTGTATCTTTCTTTGCATTTTTGATATGCATCCTACATCATAGTTCTAATTAATCCCTTTTTAGAAACCATGTCCATGAAAATGTAAACTTTTCTCATAGCTTTTGGTCTGATATGGTGTTATCAGTCTATAAATATGGATCATGTGCTCAGTCTCTAATGAGGCTTACATAAACATTCTCACGGCTGTGATAGTGTCGGCTTATAGATATTAGAAGCATCTATTTTTATAATGTATCTTTAGTTTATGCTAGGCATACTTTTCCTCCTTGGTCAATCGTTGTTATATAACTTCTCTTATGCATCCACTAAGTGTGCATCACATTTCTCCTTACAGCATACATGTGTGCCACACTTGTAACTCTTCTTGATATACAGAATCTCTCTATACTTGAAGCATTTGAATCACAGTGAAATGCCCAAAATTGCTACAAATCTTCAAATGCAGTGGCATGTTGCACATACAAACTTTGGCACCATGGGTGACATTTTTAGCATCTATATACTTTTTTCATACTAAATTCCTGACCATTTGACATTTCATGCCACTGTGAATATATTTTTGGCTCAAATGATATGTTAGTCTTTTTCAGAGGAAGGATATTCGTATATTAAGATATAGAGTTAAATGACACAACATTTCAAAGAATTGTACCTCTAAAGGTTATTCAAGGGAATGAAAAACTTATATGGGAGAGCATTTAGGATAGCTCTAAAATCATATTCCAAGCCAATTCAGAGTAATGTCTTCCCCATAAAGTGAAAGTTATAGTAACAAAAAGAAACTCTCCAACCAAAAAAAAAGCTGATTTAATGAAGATGAGTGTGTTTCTTAATACCATTAACAAGATGATAAATAAAGGTATGAAGTTCATAAAGGTTTGCAATCTTATAGCCACATTTTTTTCTTTCTAGAATGACTTCAAATTGTAACATGAAACTACGTTCATTTATCCTAAGTAGCTCTAAGTTTGTAACAGTATACATCTATTTATAATTAAATTTTATTGTTTTATTGCCCTTTGAACCATGTCTAATTACTATCTGCACTATTATAAGTTGTAAATCATTCGGGGAACGTGCAGCTCACGACACCCTAACGAATTATATTACCCACAAGCTGCTTGTGTGTATGTGCCTCGTGAAACATTTTTATTATAATATTATTTATTTTACCTAATCTAATCTTAACTAACCTAAAAGGATCCCTATTTTTTACATTTTAGTTACTTTTATAATTATACATAAAGAATAAACATTGAAAACAAGAAATATAATCCTTAACCGATCTTCTTTTTTCTTGTTGTCGTTTGTCGAAGAGAATTAACCTTAATTGTTTTATACTAATGGTAATAATGCATTTAATAATTTTTTTTAATTGAATAATTCACCAAAGAATATAGACTAATAACATGCAAAAAGTAGACAAATTCCCTTACTTCCCAAAATTTTTCTGGCTTTCTAACTGTGTGACAAGAGCCGTTACAAATTCATCCAAGATAGTCGTTAACTTTCTCATGGGAATGATGTTGTTATTCTGAGTGAAATTGACATTTAACCATTCAGAAAATAACATTATATAATATGTCATTTAATAGATGAAAACATTGACTTTCTATTGGTTATAGATAATATATAATTAAATGTAAGAGAGAACTATTAACAAATTCTGAAATAGAAGATATGACAGGTAGGTGTGGCAGAAGTGGTCTGATTTTCTATTCAATAGCTCTGTAACCAAACAAAATTGAAGACTATAAAAATTATGGTTTGTCTGAGGAATGACTATTTTATAGAGTAATTTATGTTTAATTCTGTACTTTTTTGAGGGGTGGTGGATAAAATAGAGAAGACGACAGGCTAAGCGAAAATGTTTCATGTGGGGCACACTAGGGGAAATTCAGATTTTTTTAAATATTGCATTGTAGAATTAAGAACTTAAAACATATATATACTATTAAAATATGGAACATTATTAAAAATTGTATGCTATATTTATTGGTAAAACATAAACAAAAAGTAGTTTAATAAAATTTTGAATATAAAACATGAAAACCCTGTGTCATGTGCAGTAAAGGATACTCATGACAACAGGGTTAATCACATTTTATGTATCTTCTATGTTATTTCTTTTCTGGCTTGTATCCTTTGTTGTTTTTTTATATAATCTTAACTTTTCCTGGTTCCAGTATTTTTGGCATAGGTATTCTGGCTATCATTATTTCAGAAGTGAGTCTACTTGATTTGAATTTTACATTTTTTTGGGTGAAAATTAATTTGTTATAGATACTTTCCTCTGAAATACATTTCCAACCACCTCCCCACAAATGGGTGATAAAGGATTTTCTATTAGGAATTTAACTAAGAAATATGAATTATAATAGGAAGGCAGAGCGTATGTATGTTCTCCTGATGCATACACAGTAAATTACATGGAATGTGGAAAAATCTAGAATTCTGGTTAAGTTGATTCATGCTCTACATTGGGTCAGACATTTAGAACCTAAAGTCACATGGTTGTTGACACCACGAGAGCAACTCAACAAGGTATGACTGTCAATATTTCAGGGGTAAATCTAGCTGATTTGAAATTCAGTGTAATCTTAAAAATGTAAATTTTTTACTAGAAGACAACTTTAAATCTGAAATTAGGAGCTTTTATTATCAACTCCGTGTGTTAGAGTAATAGTAAGATTTTGTATGCAATATTTTTATATATTTTATTGATATAAGTATTCCACTATGTTACTTCAGAGTGCAGCACAATATCTTTTATAATTATATTCATTTGTTTCACTAGTTGGAAAAGCTTGCAAAGGAAAATTTACAATTAGGAAAAATGTAAAAGGATAGTCATTTGAATCAAAAATTGTTTCGGTTGTTCATCATAAAGCTGCCAATAAAATTGCACTCAGAAAGGCTGACTTATTACTCAGCACTATGCTTGATAGTTTTACCAACCAATTAAATCAAAACACAGTTGATTATAACCATATAAGTAGTTTGTGATAGTTTTCTGGGCTATCTATGTTGGTATAAAACAACTGCACAGCCATTTGATTTATTAATTATTCTTAGATAAGGATTTGTGGCTTATATATCCTCATTGAAACCTAATACCTCATATGATTGATTTTGAATGTATTTCAGTTGAAACAGAACTGACAGTTGAGACAAGTATCAACATCAATACTTTTGTTTAAAATTTCCATGTAGTAGCTAATCAAAAGAATATTAATACAATAATACATGACTTTTATAACTAAGTATTAACATGGTGAAACATGAGTTTGAAAATTGTAAAGTAAATGTGGAATATTTTCTTTTAAAACAGACTTATTTTTGAATCAAAGAACAAATATCTGCTTATATTCTACAGATGGTACTGAACTGTTGGGTGGTGATTATCTTATATCTGATGAAGACTGGTATACATATGAGCGTGTTAAGCCGTTGTACACTTCTTTTCATTTACGGATGGAATTTGAAAGACAGATGTTATTTTATCCAGAAACTAAACGAGGTAAAAATATTATTATCTAATGTAAAAAGTGTGATACACATGAACCATACAAGAATTTGTGCATTCTCGATGAAAATTAAAATCTCAAGCAAATACTGAAAACTATGTAAAGCTAGAAAATATAACTCACACAAATGTTATGTATGCATTAAATATTTTTATACAAAGGAAAAAATGATATTTTTTGGTATGAAAACTAGTTGTTATACCATAACATACCCATGAATATGTTAATAATTTGATTTAGATCTACAGTTGTATTTTAGAATATTGTTACCCTAATTTTTTTAATTTAGTGATGTACATAAAGTATTCTCATATGAAACTCAACAATATCAGTGTGCCTTTTATAAAAGCAGAGTTCTTAGTGTGTAACTGAATATAATAGAACTCATAACCTGTTTATTCCATTCAGTTATAACAAAAACAATAGTAAAATTTGTGTCTTTCTGATTTTTTTCCATTTGATCACCCTCTTGATAAGAATAGAGATTAATATGTTTTAAAACTTTTCGCTTTAAATTTTGTTCCAATACAATCTCTAACCTCCACTAACAAATAGCTTTCCTCTACTTATACTGCTCTCTATAGTGAATTTTTATTACCACTAACAGTGATACTACCACCTAACCTCATGTATTCACATGAGACATCTGAATCTTATCATGCAACAACCCTTCACCAATAGGAGTGTGACACAACTCTTATTGTAATGAGCACTCTTTTTTTCTATGCAGCCCATAATCACTTTTCAATTGGCAGTAGTACTGATAGGACATGTTTCCGCTCATGCTTTCCAAATGATTTTCTTTTTTCAAATTTGCCTGGCATAATTGTGTTTTGTTTTTTCATTTACTACTTCCTTACCTTTTGTCGCTCAAGTTTTATGTGTTATTCCAAACTCGGTCTTTTCTTTCCATATTTTTCAAACCTTTTTTTTTGTCTTCTTTCAACTTTCATGGATTTTAGAATTGCATTTGGAGCTTCTAATGGCATCAGGGCAAGCTTTTCTGCCGAGGAATTATTGGTTCTGTTTGAAGGGAATTGGCTACCTTTCTGCAATCTTCCAAGTTGCCAGATGATTCTTCTCTATTATCATATGAGGGTATGCCTGAACATGAGGATGAGACTTTGGTATCCTGTTCCCTCCTCTTGCCTATACCTCACCGTCACATTTCATTGCGGGGAGGTTCTCAGGTCTCCTCCTTCCTTTGTTGCCTTCAAAATTTAGGTTTGTTATGTTTCCTCATTGGTTCCTGTTTCCTATGATTCCTCCTTGCCCTTCTCTGTATCATGTCAATGGGCCAGTATCTTGTGCTTCAACTCCCTCGCTGGATATTGGGGTTCACGTGACTCCCACATACTCTGGAAGTCCATGCTTTGGCATATCACTGTTCTGTTTCCCTACTTAGACTCACAGCATTTTGACTCACCTATCCCATTAGAGATTCAGACCCTAATACTTCAGTTATCTTCTTCCAGTCTCAGTTTTTCTGTTTTTCACCATGGAAATGCCTCTCCTTGTGTGATATTTCCTTGCTAACACACCTTCCTTATTGACCTCCCATTTATCTCACCCCCCCTGAATCTGTGCCTTTGTTTCACCCTCCTCTTTCCTCTATCTTTCTGGTTCCAACCTCTTGGAACTGAGGTTCGCTGTTGGCTCTTGTGCTGCCATCCTGGGGGCAACCGATGGTTTTGAAGTCTACATATTGGGGTCGGGTCTGTGAGGGACAGGCCTCTCTACTTTGCCCATGTCTAAAGGTCCTTCATTATGGACCCTTGGGTTTGTAATTATTTTCGAGGGTCTGGTCCTACGTTTCGATTTTCCTTCTCCACTGTCCCAGCATCTCATTTCCTTCCCTCCTCCTCGGGATCCAGTTTTCAGCCAGCGTCTTTTCAGTGGCAGTGCAAGGGTACCATTGAACAATGAATTTCTCTCATCTGGGTTTTTCTTCCCATTTGTTTGTCATTCTCAAGAAGGCTGGGGACTGATGCCCTGTCATCAGTCTTTAGGCTCTGAACTGCTTCTTGGTCCTACCTCATTTCACTATGAAGTTGTCCTTGTACCATTGATTGGTTTCACTCCTGGCCTATGGAAGTCAACAGATGTTTCAGAGATGTACCTTCACTTTCTCATCTCCCCTTGCATCCTGACATTACTTTTGTTTTGTCTATTAGGGTTGTGTTTTGTGTTTTCGGATCTTTCATTCGGTCTTGCCTTGGCTCCCTATATTTTTTGTCAGGTGGTCAGTGTAATTGCCCATCTTATTCATTTTTGGGACCTTCATTTCCCCATTAAATGGATGACTGTTTACTTCAAGCTCCCATGCATGCTGCCTCTGCCCTTCATACTCAGTTTCTCCTATGTGAAGCCTCTTTGGGTTGGTTGGTTGGTTGATGGAGGTGGAGAAGTCTTTCCTCATCCACATGCAATACCTTGTTTATCTTGGGGTAATGTTCAATTCTCTCCTCAATCCCCAACCTTTTTCTCTTCATTTATGGGCTATGGAGTTACTAGTTCTCAACCTATCCTCCTCTCCTTTTCCCACTGCACAAGAGGTTTTATCTCTTTGATGGACCAGTGGATCCTTGTTCAGTATCCCTTGGATGCCCTTCACCTCCTTCCTTACAGACCGACTTCACCTGGTGTTTGGATCAAGAAAACTATGGGTTCCTCTTCCTTGTCTGAAATGTCACCTCTTTACAGATGCGTCTCTTTGTGGTTGAGGTGCTTACCTGGACACCAGGGAGGTCTTGGGGCAGTGGACTTCTTAATTCTTATTAATCTCTTGGAGCTTCTCACAATTCATCAGGCATTAATTCACTTCCTTCTGGCTATTCAAGGCCAGTCGATGATTGTTCATCCCAGCAACTCAACTGTGGTCTCATCCATTTCCAGGCAAGGGACACCCAGTCAAGAAACCTCTATTTTCAGACACTGGACCTCCTGTATTGGGTCCCTGCCATCATATTTATTTGATGGCTTGGCATGTTCTGGGGGCCTTGAATCTAGTTGTGGGCCACTTATTTCGTTCTGACAAAATTCTCCCTATGAAGTAGTCACTGGACCCACTGGTGTTTTTGGTGGCTCTGTTCCCAGTGGGGTATTCCATATCTGGATGATTTTGCCACACATACCAATTCCCAGCTCACACAGTTTTGGTCTTCTGTTCCACATCCCTTGACTGGAGCAGTTGATGCTCTCAGTCAAGATTGAATGGGCTTCTACCTGTATGCCTACCCTCCCATCCATCTGCTTCCCCAGGTCCTCTCCATCATCCAGACCACTCTGTGTCGTTCTCTTTTAGTGGTTTCCCTTTGGCCAGCAAAGCTGTGTTTTCCACTGTTGCACCAGCTAGTGGTGTTGCCTCTTCTGCTCCTTCTTTCCCCTACTCTTTCATGTTAACCCCAGTCCAGTGTGCATCATCCTTCCATTTCCACACTCTGTCTTCACTCGTGGCTTTTGTCCAGTCCTTGCTCAGGTGGGCCAGCCTTTCACAGTACATGGCATCCTTGATTTCCCATTCTTTTCATCCTTTCTCCAAGGCTGTGTATCAACAGACATTGTACATGCACTGTAGTTGGTTCATATATCATGGTTATATACGTCATCCTACTCTTCTCCACATCACTTCTTTTCTTACCTGGTTATTCAACAGGGGCCTCTCTGTCTCTCCCATTGCAGTCTATCACATTGCCTTGTCAGACACATTTCATTTTACATTATATGCCCATGTCTTCCAATCACCTGTCCTTTCTCTTTTGTTTCATTCACTCTGCATCACCCATCCCCCTCACCTCGCCTATCTCCCAGAATGGAATCTCAGTGTAGCCCTTCGTGCCCTTACCCTACCTCTGTTCAAGCTGTTGTACACCTGTTTCTTATATCATCTCTCCTTGAAGACGCTTTTTCTCCTCCTGTTAGAATGCGGATGTCATCGATTGGACGTGTTCACTATTGATGTCCACCACATTTTATTTCATATTTCCTGTGTTGTCATTTTCCCTCATCGTTCTTTCCTGCTCGAAACTTCGGCCACTCAAGAGGGTAATTCCCCCTTCCCTATCACATCATTATAACCTTTCTGACCCTGATTGTCTCTTCTGCCTGGTCAGGGCTCTCAGCTGTTATATGGTATGCACTGCTTCCTTCTATGAATCCCTTTCCCATTTGTTTATTCCTTCAAAATATTCCCAGTTTCGTGACCTTTCTGCTATTCCTTTACAGATTGGATTCCTCAGCTTATTTGCCTGACTTATTCTTCTCTTTCACATGATATTTGTAATCTTTTCCACGTCTCTTTACATCAAATGTGTCACCTTCCCATGTCCCTCGCTGCTCATTTCCATCATCTGTTGGAGGACTTCATTTGTGTAGATATGTGGACCACTCCCTTTACTTCCACTGCTCATGATCTTCACCACCTAGCCATTTCCTGTTCTACAGGTTTCCGTCTTCCTCTCATTGCCAGTTTGAGCTCCATGATGTCTAAGAGTGGATAGATGCTACTTTTTTTCTACCTTTTCTTTGCAGGGGCCCTTTTCACATCTCAGGATCCCACTTTGTGGCAAGTGTTGCTTGACCAGGTATAATTATTCATAAATCTGCACTGTAAGACTGGTGTGTCAAATGTGGTATTCTGCAAGATAGCTTTTAGGTATTCCTCATGGTGTTTTGCTTCATAAACTTGTTTTTCCAGAACCATACATTTGTTTATATACTATCCAATCTTGAAGTGATTATGGGCTGCAGAGAAAAGAAGGAGCTAGTTATGATGGGAGTTTTGTCACACTCCTATTGGTAAAGAGTTGCTGCACGATCATTTGCATGATAGCATGCAGATGTCTCATGTGAATACATGTGAAGGTAGGTGAGAGTATCAAGGCTAGTGGTGTGCAAAAAATTTGCACCCATAGAGGGCAGTATAAGTAAAGAAAAGGTATTTGTGAGAGTGGTAAGTATCTATTGAAAATACATTTTCAGTATAGGAAAAGTTAATTTTGAACAATGTTCTAACCATAACAAAGTTGAAAATAATGAGTTAGTAATGTTAATTCTTATTTCTTTCCTTTCTTATTAAACCTGAGAGGGATGAAGATATGACATATTTTTATTTATTGATACACAATTTTTTTAAATCAGGAAGCCAGAAATATTGTGGTGACCATTGCCTAATGTAAAAGAAAAAAATCATGTGGAATAATATAATTTAAATATAATTTGATATGTCTATGGCAGTTTGTCAAATGGTTGAAAATTTAAAAGTGAAGTTTTTAAAATATATTACTGGCTTGTTTTTATCTATTTTGCTGTCCATCCATCAATCCATTTGTGTTATATGTTGTTTATTTTGTATTATATGTTTTTTATTCATTGATTTAATAGAAAGGAAGCATTAGTAAAAAGTGGAATACCTATCTTAAAAGAGTTCCCTGTTCTTTGAGGTGTTGCTTTCAGTTTACCATCTTTCATGTCCTTTTTGTCTTATGCATGAAAATATTTCTTTGTTCTCCCAACAGTAGTCTTATAGGTTCAAATTGTTTTGTAGTGTTTTGTAATATACACTGCTTTTGAGTTTTGAAACTATTAAGGTTAAAAAAAGACAAGAGATATTGCATCTTTCATGTACTTCTTAGAACAGTGTATTTAACCCCATTTACTGATTTGGTTCTTCTGTCAGTTTTCTTGATGATGGTCTTAATCACTGTGGGTGTCTTTGCCTTTTCATGTGAAGTACCAGTACAAGAGAAGATTGGTAATAGTAGAGAGCCTCGATACCTTGAGGAAGAAGGATTTTATGTAGGAAAAAGGCCTGCTGTTCCTGAGAGGAATAAGAACAAGCTTGAAAATAGATTAATAAGACAGAAGGTATGTAAGGAAAAACATTTATTTAACTAGAGGGGCATTCAGTAGAGTGCATACCTTTGCCATGCAGAGTTTATCATATTTGGCTCTCAAAAAATACAAAGATATCAACAGACATGAATCAATTTTGACAGGATAATGAGGAATAATATTCTACATATGTCCACCAAGTTTCATCAAAATTCGATCATTTTTGACTAAGTTATAAAGCAAAAATAGTGTGAAAAATCAGTCCCCATGTTAACAGATAAAGATTTTGTGGAGTTTCATGACTTTACTGTCACCATGACCTTTGACCTTGACTCTCTAAGTTGGGTCATAGTCCAAATGTATACCAACTTTCAACCAAATTCATTTAGTTGTTTTTGAGAAGTTTTGCTGACAAACAAACACACACAGGGGTGAAAACATAACCTCTGTCCACCTTCAATGGTGGAGGTAATGATATACAGAATATTTTGAAATTTTTTTAATCTTACATTGTATTCTGAAATGGTATGATAGCTAATGCTTGGTATGTAATACATACAATAAACTGTAATTGCTAAATGTATATTATAGAAAAGACAACTGTTCTGTGATTTTTTTTTACCAAAAAGTGTTGCTTTAAAGATTGAATAATAAAAATAAAAGACTTGTGTGAGTGAGTCAAAGCAAGAAGTTCGTTTGAAGGGTATTCAATGTGAGGAAGTTTCAGAACTATAATTTAGATAGTGAAAGAAATATCAGGAATTAAAAAAATGAATAACTGATCAAATGATACACATACTTTCAATCAAATAATCTATTACAATGTTTTTTCTTTTCTGTATAAGTCTTCTAAATTCTGTATGTGTGGAGAAAAATACTTTAAAGCTACTAACTTTTTTCTCTTTTATGATAATTTTCTAACACTTGAGCCAAACATGCAAAGTTATGACAAGTTCATAATTATATATTTGTTTGTAAATTTTAAGTTTTAAAATAACAATGATAAATGTATTTTTTCCTTACTATAGGAACTTTGGTAGACTTTAGTCAACACTTACATCATCTTAGATATGTTAAATGTGTCAGCACCAGTTTAAAAGATCAGTATTTTTTTTAATTGTGTTAAATCTTAAATCAGATGTCCAAAATAGTTTCTTAAAGTATCATTATCTATAAGTCTATGTTGAAATTAAAAGTAAGTTATGACATATGCGTAATGAGTGTTTTTAACCTAATGGAATGCAATTTTTTGATAAAGTATATTTGTTTCAGATCAGTATAACTAAAAGTATTTTTAGAAAAGACAAAGTTGTTGTTCTGTTGTATAGATAATTAAATTTTGTTATTCATGATTTTCAGTTTTTGTATTAATTCAATGTAGAATGTTTTTTTTTGTTACTATATATATAAAATAATGCCAACTTATAATACAATACTTTTAAGTTTTGAGGATAAATTTGATATTTTCAAAAAACAATTTACATTTTTATGAGAAGTGTGTAAAGTCAGCTTTGATATCAGAAAAATTTATTTTTAAACTAAGTGTTTCATTCCAAACAAATTCATACTTTTGCATTATTCTTAGTTTCTTGTACAAAGAATTAGAAAAAAAATAACTCTTTGCTCTAAACCTAGAAACTTAGAATAAGTTTACATGTGCTCAGATCTATATGACAAACATAAGCTAGAAAGTAATGGTTGAGAATTTAGTAGGTACAGCTTTATTCAGTTGTTTCAAAAGTGTGTCTCAGGTAATTTTGAAGGATGGATTATACATAATGTTTCAAAAGCTTTTTGTTTTATTGATCAGTTAGTTGTGGTGGTGGAATCAGCTATTTTAAATTATATGTGAATAGTTACTTATCCCTTTCCTTGCAGGAGAAACATTGGTTTGGAGATGATGCTCAAATTGTGGCCTTAGCAGATCCCCTGCAGACTTGCATATCCCGTCCAGTCAGTTTCGAAGACAGTGATCAAGTTATAAAAACTGTGTTTGTTAAGGTATGTAGTAATGATTTAATTTGTTTAATTTATCATGTGCAGTGCTTGTACAACATATGACACGAACTTCTATACATCTTTATGAATTTTTTATTGTAGCCTATAGCATTGTTCTTGAAATTTCTATATTTATAAAATGTAGCTTGAAATTTCTGAAATTAATTATCAGTTAAAACTCCCACCAAAGGTTAACAGCAATATAACTAAACTAAGGAAAACATAAAAAACTAAGGAAAATAAAAAAGATAATGATTACAAATGATGTTTCTCCTTTTAGGAAAAATATATTATTGTTATTATCATGTCGGTAACCTCAGCACTTTGCTTAGTTACGTCTTTCTCATTTCGGAGGCCAGCTGAATGAAAAATGTGACATATTGATCTAACAAGAAAAGTCCGATTTGTTAGTGCAAAATATCAACTCTAAAAAATTAAATAATAAACTGTTGATTACAACCAATTAAACATACTGGTGTGATTATATTCATGATGTTAGAAAAACACACAGGTTCTAGAAGTCTTGATAGAAATGAATAAATACCCTATATGGGTTATAGGGTTTTTATTCATCACTGGTATGATTATAAATATTATTAAATGTAAGGGACATGTGGTCAGTTGTTTAGTGTGCCAAATTGTGAATGCAATTGAGATGCATCGTGTGCAACCCATTGCCACAAATTTACACTTTACGACTATTAGTGCATTGTAGGGGTGATGGTCAAGTCTCTCCAGTTAAATCAAGTATTGCAAGAGTTGGCAATGAGTGCTGTTAACTAAGTGCCTTCTCTCTACTCTGTAAGATTAAAATATGAAATGGTTACTACAAATAAATTATTTTTAACTTTATATGAACATCCAAAATATACAAACAATTAGACCTAATTCGGAAAGCTTTGATTATTGTAATACTACAGTTTGTTGCTTGATTATTAAATAGTTACTTGAGTGTGTTATATTAAAACAATTTTGAAGCTTCACCTCATCATTGCAGTCCTTGTTACCATATCTGGTCATGCTATATCTGACATTTGTGCATCTTGACACTAGCCCTGCTGCATAGTTTCCAAGGCTGTCATGTTATCATGTCCAAAGCACACCACACCACCCTGATACTTTTCCATGATCTATCTAGTGTGCAAGGATGTCAGTTTTCCAGTGCCTATTTCAACAGTTAGATTGTACAGAAATCCATAGGTGTTGCATCATCTGACTCAACTGGTGTGTCTTTGTATAGAATAGCATGAATACATTTCATTCTCTAGCTGCTTAAGGTATGTGACAGTTGAAAGGGAGATATGACTGAAAGTATTATCTTGGTGAACCTATACCCTGTAAAAATTTGGTATTTCTGTTTGATACAGAGTCCAAAACATTGGTCTGATAGTGAGTACAGTTCACCTTGACCTTTGTATCCACTTTCCTGATTCTATACCTAACTAAGTTAGAATTAATTGGAATGAAAGTGATTATGCCCATGGGTTTATAATAAACTGTAATAAATAAAGGAAACTAACTTAACTGATTTTTAGTAAAAAAAAAGAAAAGAATAGGTTACTCATTCCAGTGTTTTAAATTGTAAAACATTTGCTCTATAACATCGTTTGCTTTCGTAATTCAAAGTTGCATTTTCTTTTTTACTGAAACATTTTTAGTTATCTTATAAGAAATATCTCAACAGATAATACTATATTATTTTCAAAAGTAGAATTTGATTAAAACATTTACCATATATTGTTTTTTTTTTACATTAAAAGGAAAATAACAACACCACCAGTAATTATGTTTTTAATAAATAAATAATTTATAAGTATTGTTTTCTCATTTAACCCATCATTTTATAAAAGTATTTTTTAATGGTGGAATTACATGTATTAGCTTTAGTCTTTAGAATCAATGTATTTTTATAAAATCTAGTGTTTTAAGACTTTAGGTGGTTTAAAAATTTATTTTTTTATCTAAATGTTACTCTTTCTTTAATTTTTTATCTATTTTTATAGTTTATTCCTTTCTTTTCTATTGAGGTTTTCTGAGGTGAATTACATAATGATGTACAGAACATTTAGTGGTTTTGAGATAATTGCTCTTATACTGCAGTATATTAATTTTAGAAAGCTTAGTAATTGATTAAGAAATTAATTTCAGTGATTTAATGATGAAATCTACTCCTAGAAATACTTAATAAATTTTTTTCCCTATATAGCGTGTATGTAATCAACAAACCTGCGAGGGTATTTGCTCATGTGTTAGCCAGTTTGTTCACTTATTAGGTTCTTCAAAAAAAGTTGAATAATCAATTTTCCTGATAATAAAAACCATACTTAGAAATTGTGAATGGAAATGTAATACAAAAGAATATATTTGTTTTCTAATTTATTCTTAAGTTGTTCCCAGTGGCTCAGAGGTAAACTTGAGGACTTATAATAACACAGCAATTTGGAGTTTATCCCTGTCATGTGTGCAATGCAGGTAGCCCCTTGTGTAGCTTTCTGCTTAAACAAACAAATACTGTTGAGTAACAAGTATATAATTCCATATCTATTCATACACATAAAGCAGAGTTATCCTTCTGTCTGCCTGGTGTAACAAGTTATTGTGAGGAACTGACTGAACCAGTTGCAATAAAATTTGGTAAAGGAACTGAGGTTTACAAATTAATATTGAGCTTAAATAAAGAAAAACAATCAAATGAATGGTTCTAGTTTCTCAGACATTTTAATTTTACCATCTTAATGCTCTGAAAGAGAGATCAACTGAGGTGAAGGTTGATAGCAAGATACATGAAACTGATGTCAAATGAAAGTGGCATTTATTGCTGCACATAGCATGTGTACCTTTGTATGAGACAACTGGCTCATGCTATGGCTGCCCATGTCCCTGTTTATAGCATTACATTTTGAGCTCAGCATTGCTGGTTACCTTTGCTAATACACATATATGTATATGTACATTAATTAGATGTAAATCAAACTACTAAAAGTCTGAATTCAAATTGTGAATTAAAGAGTTTTCTTTTTGTTTTGAAGCAGTTATATTACTTTCATTCATTTCAGTTAAAACCTTTATATTTGCTTTTTTTATGTATACATCTTCCATTGAACAATTTGTTTCTGCAGGCAGAATATCCAAATACACAGTTACAAAGATGCAGTGATCGACGATATCAACTAGATGTAGATGTTTCATCTCTCACTTTTCATCATCATCCACTGTTCAGTAAGGAACATGTGCTAGCTTCAAAACTACAGGAGTTGTATGAAGAATATTGTTTTCAGATAGAAAATAACAAACTCACCCAACTAACTCAGCGGGTATTTAAAATAATACTTTTGTAGGCTTCACTGTAATGTGTTTTTGTGTTGTTACTCAAGGAAATGTCAAAAATAGTAGTGGTAAATCTTCTTTCTAATGATTTGTAATCTTTTAAAGGATATTCAGAAAAACTTTTTTTTGCATTTGAATTATTTTTGTGCCAATAACTAGTAAAAGAAACAATATTTGAGTATAGTGTAAGTTCTAAATGTGTTGCACTCTTGACAGAGGCATTTAGTTTTCAGTTTCAATTATTTTACTCCTTGAAAAAAACTACATTTTATCAACAGCTTTTCAGCTGTATTTAGGTCAGTTAGAAACCATAAGCTGAAAAGAACACAGGAAGGTAATGTATTAATAATACCAAAACTATAAATACAGTCTCAAAGGAATTTTTCCAATACAACAGTCACAGGAATAAAAAAAATCACTTGTATTCATACAGAAGCATTTTCAGAAATGCTTAAAATGATGAATAAGAATTCAATTTTAGTATTAATTCCTTAGGTTTTCTAAGTGATGCAAATACTGGTTGTTTTTTTTAGCATTATTGTATGAATATCAATTGTTTACCAAAATGTTAAAAAAAAAGGGAGTAAGATCTACTCACTGTTTACGCATGAAGGTTCAACAGAAGCAAAAGTAAAGAAGCCAAATGTTAAAATTAACACATCTTCGAATTAGCTAAATGTATGTTCTCAAGTTTAAATAAAAAATTTAGATGTTAGTTATAGCACATACAGTACCTTATGAAATAATTGTTTTACAGCAAAGTGTAGTTTTAGTAATTTAAAACAAAACAGAATTTGGACTGTAACTCTTCTTTTTTTTTACACCATTGTTGATCAAAATCCTTACTAGTAATAAGTTACAATCATTGTCTCTCATGTTAATTTGGTGTCTTCATAAAGAAAATAGTTGACTGCTGTCATAGTGTGTGTTTTGTATGACTTTAATATTTTTGAAATTTAATTTTGGGATTATAGTATCATGTAAAAAAACAAATAGAATTATACTCTATGTACTCACTTCACTGTATGTAAACAGTAAGAAGTTTCTTTACAAAAAGTATTTCCTTACAACATTTACGTAGTATTTATTATGTCCTGGAAATGAAAATCTAAATAAGTAGTGAAATGAAACAATCTACCGGATAGGTATATAGAACCCACATACATATTTTCTAGACATTTTACTGAAACTTTTTTTGCTAAAAAAAATAAGCATTAAATGATTTAAATAGCTACTAAATATTCATGTTTTAATAAAGTATAACTGATGACCAACAGTTAAAGACCCTTCGAATAGCAGTAGCAAACTTGGGTGGATTTAAATCACCAGGTGAAGAATCCTCATCAGCTGTAGATGATAGAAATCTGAGATTACAACATTATAAAGAAGAACTACGGTAAAGGTTTAAAGTAAGATAAGGTTTCTAAAGTGGTAATTGTTAGAAGATTGTATTGCTATAAAGAAGAGTTATGACAGGAAAAAAATAAAAATTTTAATCTTACAAAAGTACTTATAAAAGTTTTCAATCACTGGTTTAATTTTTATTTACTTACTTATAGTTTGAGAGTTCATTACTAGTGTAATTGCAAGTATCAGTTACGTTTTGTAAAAATGTTCCAGACTAGAGTTCAGTCAAGAATTCACGTCTTTCAGTGTTTTTTACATTTAGAAGTTGACCATATAGTGCTTCATCTTTATACAATTCTTCATTTACTCAAGGTTTGCATTAAATATGTATTTTACTTGTACAATATTCAGATAAAATGACTAAAACATAGCATTAGTTTACAGCATATAATCTCCTTTTATATTATCTAATAATGTCTGAATATGTTTAAGGTATTAAGCTTATGCCTCACTTTCAAATGTTAATCATTTTTTTTTAAGTTGCTCAGTTATGTGTACAAAGTTCATTCATTATCATAAAGTTATTCTTGTTGTTCTAATCCTTATTCAGTAGAAATTCAGTATAGATAATTTGGTCTCTGCCACATATTCTTGTAATAAATTTTTCAGTTGACCAACTGGACTGCTTAGAAGACATGTATGATGACTAGAACATTTTGGAGAGGTAGCACTAAATCTTTATACAGTATCAGGAAGCCACAAAAGCTGACTGCAAGTCCATGTCACTGGAGCCTGTGCATAGAAAGCTAGCTCTAGTGCCCAGCTTAGATTTTGGGGCGAAATAACCATTAATCATGTTGCTTAAACTGTGAATAACAAATTTTATTTTCAGTGTTGTGAAGATGTATGTGTAACTCTAAAAATTGATATTTGTTAAGTACATTGTAGAAGTAAATAAAACGGTAAAGCCAAAATTTCTCTTCTGCATTCATTTTGAATGATGCTCTTATTTTTTTAGTTTGTCTTTTGTAGGCTGAGCTGACCAGAAGAGATCATTAGGATTTAAGCTTGAAATAATTCACATGAAGTTAGAGGGATCTCTCACAGACCTGAACAAGTACATGATCTGTCAAGCAGTAACTGATAAGCAGACAACTACCAGTTGCCAAGAGATGAAAGTGAATTTGGAATGCATCATAACAATATATTGAAAAGACTGAAACTGTTGTCTGGAGATGATGAATTTGTATATCATGTCAATAAAAAAGAACTAGAAAAGCTACACTTTGGGGGGAAAAAAAACTTGAGAAAAATCACTATACTTTGCCAAAGATAGCCAAGATGCCACATAGATAAGGTCAAGTGTTGAATTGTGAGCACTATCATTTACTAGCAAACCATTGGTAAAGGTGAGTTGTCTGTGGTCAAATAAGACATGCAGGTGTGAAAGAGAAATATCATATCTATGGTAGACTTGGAATCAGAGTCACAAATACTTGGAGTATTCATTGAACAATTTCAGCACTGTAAAAACACCTTTGCATAAAACCAGTACTTTTGACAATATAAACATTATCATCAGTTTTTTATTGAAAGATGTATATGGATTTTGTTAGTGATGTTGCTTACAAAGATATTGTTTGAAGCAAGGAAGTAAAACTGCTATTTTAAATTATTTCAGTCTATCATAAAACAAGACTAATGATATTTTTCTGTGATCTGGATGTAGAAGAAATTATCAGCTGTGTTAGAAAAGTAAGTAGTATTAAAACTGTGGCAAGAGATGCCAATAAAACCAAATATTTCTGAGACTAATTTGGTACAATATGGTCATTGCTTAAAAAAATGATTACCTTGTCAGAAAATCAAAGACTAGGGAATGTCAACTGTCACCTCAAACCTGTATTTTGAAGTTAAAAGGTGAAGATAATTTGCATTAAGCAAGTGCTACAGCAAAGCAGCAAGTTAAAACAGAGTTTCTTACAAATCTTGTGAAATTAGGTATTCCAACAAGAAATTCTGATGCACTCACTCTAACCTAGGAAGAATATTTTACTCTTAGTTCAAATATGCAAGCTTCATTGATGCATGTCACATTTCTTCCATTCATTTCAAAGCCAGTCACTGATTGTGCAGAAGTCTTCATTGTATTGAAATACTTCTATGGTATACATCCCCAATAGTCAGCTTTACTGCACTTTTCTCATAAAGACATTTTTCAAATCATTATTGATATAATCTTAAAGAATCTAAGAGAGTCCTCCCACTTTTTAGAAAGTGAGTATCCTGTCCCCCACTTTTAACAGTAAGAGGGAAATGTTTAACAATGTATGCTTGAAAATTGCTGTTGCTCTATACATTTCTGTCTTTGTATCATTTTTGACAGGTTATCTCAGCACAAGCAGGAAATTTATTAATTGGTAAATATTCCAACAAAATGCAAAAATCGACAATTAGGGCTAAAGTTTCAATTTCGTTTTAATTATTTTATCCAAAACAAATGTTAATAGAATTATATCAAAAGAAAATTTAAAATTTCAACATTTCAGTCATAATATGGTTCCTTAAAGAATGTGAAAGAAACAGAAAGAAGACCTGTAATCCCATTGAGATTATAAAAGTAGGTGGCAAATACTCTACTTTCTGTTCAAATGGACATATTCTGGTACTTCTCAAGGAAGAAAGAGCTATATCACATAGAGAGTGTTTTATTGGAAGTAAAGAGGCATAACTACAGTAATAAGTGGAACTCTCTCAAAAGAAGATGATATGGTTGAAGTATTAATTATACTAACAGGGAAGTTCAATTCTTAAAATAATTCTTTGTTCCTCTGGAAGAAGCACACACAAAGATGATTGTCATTTTCTTGATGCATCTTGGCTTGAATTAAAAGTATTATGTAATTGTCAAATACTGATTTATTTGTTTTGCATCTGCGGTATTTCTTTCAACTGGTTGAAAGAAGAATCTTAAAAATGTGGATCAAAATTGACATAGGAGAAATTGTAACTTGTTCCTCTTCCTATCCTGGGAAAGAAACAGGGCCCCAGTGTTGGTGGTGTTCTTATTATGGCCAACATTCTGAAGGGATGTGATATCATGAGTAAAATAGGAACAAAGTCTCCTGCTTTAAATTCTCCACCAGAGCAGTTTCTTTCAGACTTTGCTGAAGACATCACTTTATCTAAGGAAGTAGAGTAATATTTTGTGAAAGTGTTGAACCTGTGATGAGCTTTGGTACAAAACATAGTCGATTTCTGAGTTTCTATGTATTTCATTCTCTCTATACACTGGACACTTACAAAGGAGTTTCACTTTGCTATTGAAAGTTTGAATTCATGTACAATGATAATTTCAGAAGACCAGATTCAAAAGCTTTAGGTGGTATGAAACTCCCATCAACATGCTAATGTCTGATAAATGTCTTCATGCAATATATTCAGAACTGTTAATTTTGTGTTCATACAAAAAGTGCATCACATCAAAATTTAATTGCAAGAAAGAATATGTTCATTGCTCAGAATATTGTAAATAGGGCTGTGTAAGTAGGGCTGAGTGAAAACCTCATTAGTCTTGAAAATGCTTAGTATTTGTGGTTAATCGTACTTATAGTGTTTACCTCATTTGGTGTTTACTTCTGTATTTATCATTGCAGGCAGTGGACCTCAATCTATGGAGTAAATGTTGTATTTTACTTAGGAATAAATAGTGTATTTTTGGGGGAACATTATCTTGAAGAAAATAAAGTGGACTCCTATGTAATGTGCAATATATACAGTATATAGAAATGAAAAGTAGGCTAAATTACACATTAATACGATACACATACCTTAGAACAGGTAATCTGTTCTTTACAGAGTTTTGCTAACATATGTTTAATGGTTTATTTGGCCCCAAAACTTGTGCTTTGCCACTAGATTTAGCTTTATATGTGCACAGATTTCCGAGATATGAATTTACAGTTTCCTTTGTGGCCATTTTTACAAAATGGTTGTCTTCTTGGGCTTGATCAAAACTTGCTGATGTCTACCCAACATTTTTTAGTTGTCATACCTACCTTTAAATGTTTTAGGTGGTTTCTTCTATAAAATCAACATTTTGTATGGCAGGGACATGATCAAAAGGTTTTTGCCAGACATATAGTTCTGAGTCTGACATTACTATTTTGTTTTTCTCACACAGTCAGACCTGCAAGGCTAGAGATAGGGCAGAAATGAATGAGCGAAATCTACTTCGTAGTATTATCTCACTGTGGAAAGAAATCAAAAGACTCAGGGAATTACAAGGGTACATAAACACTGCCTTGAAACTCACTATTCACAGGTAAGAATAAGAAAATGTTAATAAATTTCTATTAATAATTCAAACTTTTATTGCACATTTGTAAATTTAGAAGTAATTGCAATTTCTACAGACTGCGTAGCCTGATGTAGCCACAAATATTTTCTGTAAATCTTTGAAAAATAGAAGGACATGTTTTGTATGACAGGAGTGAGTTAAAGAAGAAAATGATAATTGATTTTGTGCATGTGTGCACTTGGTTTTTATTGCCTTGTGGATAACTAGAGCAACCTACGTCATTCTTTTTTTAAAAGAAATAAGATTAATTCTGAAAGCTAGGTCAGCTGTAATTATGTTCTTTTCCATATTTTTTTGTGTGTAAGCTTCTTTCTACCTGCCAGGGTTTTTTTTACATATTGTATATTGCATGGTTAGTAATATTGTTATGGAAAAAAAAGACATTAAGTTTGTGTTGTCATGATCAAGTAATTACATCACAAATGAAAAGTAATTTCTTCAATAATACAAATTCTTTTGAGATTCCAGAAGGTGGTTAGCAAGGTAAAGCAATTACTTTTCCTGTATTTGAAGACTTAAAGTCTTTAAGTGGTGTTCAGAGTATATCATAGTTATGCTATATTCATGATGTTAGAAAAACATGTAGGTTCAAGAAATCTTGATAGAAATTAGTAAAAACCCTATAACCCAAGCGCTTTCGAAAGGTGGACCTTTCTTCTTCAGTTTGCCCCTGAAGGAGAAAGGTCCACCTTTCAAAAGTGCTCGGGTTATAGGGTTTTTATTCATAGTTGTGCTATATTTGGTCTTCAGAGAGCAAACAAATAAAGCAGAGGAGGAGGAGCAGTGGGAGAGAGAAATGCATCAGGAACTGGAAGAAGAGAAAGAAGATTTTGAATTGGAATATCAATATCTTTTTGAACAGTATGAAAAGGAATTGAGAAAATGGAAAAAATGGCACATAGCCAAGGTAATGTGGATTTAAATCTTGAGGCACAGTAGTGATTCCAGTTACATTAGGTAGAGGAACATTACCATGACTGTATACGGGATCTAACTTTTGGACAAATCTGGGGGTGTTGTCACAGCTGTTACAAAGGGTGGAATGCCACTATTCTTATATTTCTTAACATATCTAAACACTTACATCACATTAAAAACAGCAGTTTCATATCTGTTTCAGATTATGAGAAAATAGGTGATAGTTTTTCATTTCAATTTTGTTTTCTCATAGGCATTCATTTTTCTTATTTTGTTCATGATAGAACCACTGTGATTGTTGTTCTTTGTTGGCTTTATTTTTACCATATCTCAGATTTTTGATATTCAGAGTATATCATCTTCATTTTAAGCATGTGTTATATTCTTATCTTTTGTCATGGCAATGAAAATAAGTTGAATTTTTCAGATTATTAACCTAACATGAGGTGGCGCTCAAGGTTATTTAAAATGGATAGAATAGGTACACAACCATGATTTGATGGAGGTATTTTCTGTTGTGTTTATAGAAGATAAATATAATATCTCTGACCTATCATAATCCTTAAATGAAGACCATTTTCTTTATTTAAACTTAGAGCTTCATTCTGTATGTTGTCTTGTTTCCTTAATTTTTTTCTCTTTCTTTTTTTTCTGTGTGTGTGTAGAATGTAGTTGCCATTTTGTTCTCCTCACAGTACTTGTGGTCATTTCTTCAGTGAGGTATATTCCCAACATGGGTGGTCTATGAAGTTCTGTAAAAAGTTTTTATAACAATGTTATAGAATGATTTTGTATAACATACTTTCTTCTTAGCTGTTATGAATTTAATTCATATTGTGTACCAGCTTATTCCCGAAGAAAATATGTCACAAATCATTAACAACTTTAGAAGTCCCATCTTTTCTAAACAAAGTTTTATGTATGGAAAACAATTGTTCCTGGAGTCATAGGTCAAATTCTAGATATTCAGTGATCATTACCAATCAAAGAATGTTTACAGAATCTCACTGTATTTTGACTAATCTTAGGATTTATATTTTCCATTGATGTTTACAGTATGTTAGATTTTTGGTGCTCTGTTTTGAACATACATCTTATTTAATTAGTTGGGCTGTTCTCAAATATGAAAACTCAACAATTGATGTAAACAGAAACAAACTGGAAAAAGCTTGAGCTTGTGAAATACCCAACCTTTTAAGATGGAAAAACTTCCAAAACATTTAATTTCCTTTAAAATTTTTCATATTAAAATAGATATAAATATATCAAATTAAAGTTGATTATGTTAGTATATAACTGTACAAAAACATAGCTTGGTATAATTTTTTTTCTTTTCAGTGATATTTTACTGTTACAGATTTTAAACTATTTATTTAAACTCAAAGCACTAGACTTGGTAGCTCTCTTAGACAACCAAAGGTCTAATTTAGTGTTAAGATTAAAGTCACAAATATTGTTTCAAACTAATATAGTTTGTATCATAATTAAACGTTCATATACTGTAGGAATAAACAAAGATAAATTTGTATTTGAAGAAACAAGCTTTAAGAAGAGAGAGGAAGCGGCAATCAATTTTAAGACAAGAAAGTGAATCACCTCAGGCATCACCAAGACAAATGCCTGAAGACTTAGAACAAACAGAAAGTGAAGATCAAAAGATATTAGAAGAAGAAGAACCTATCAAACCTGTACCCCCACCAGAATTTAATGAAGAGGAATCTTTAAAGAATATAAGACAGAAAGCATTACAGATTAGGAGGCAACCAGGTAGGACCTCTGATTTAGTTTTTATTTTAAAGTATTGATAAAATTTAAATGTTATAGATACAACTGTTTGATGTTTGTTTTTGTGGTAGAAGTGAATACTCAGGTGTTTTGAATTATTTAAGTTCTTCCATTTTGTTTAGTTTTCTCATATTAGGGGTATCTCTGAAATGGATAAGAATATCAGTTGGTTACAAATCCTTCAGTTATGAAAGGGCAGTTATAGATCATCTGAAATTTGTACTGATGGCTAAAGGGTTAGAATCTAGCCCTTCAATTTGGTGGATAATGGGTTAAGCTATATCCGTTGCACTTGAGTCTTACTTGTTAAAAGGTCAAGGTATATTTCTTGTAAGTTTAAAATAAAGATTTATAGATTATATTCAGTGATGGAAATGGGGGTACAAGCCATGTACCTTGTTCTCAGTTTGAATTTTTTCTCCAATGGTTAAGTTTAGTACCACTGAAGATGTTTACTAACCCTATTGTCACGGGTCAAAGGCCATGTCATTGCATTTGTTGACTTACATTCAAAAGTTTATTGAACTACTATATTATGTATTTATGTCAAGAAGTTTGGTATGAAATTATAGATTGTAATTCAAATTTTAGTATTATACATTAGTTAATTTCGTAATTTAAAAGTAAATATTATAAGAACACACTTAAATATCGATATTTGTGTGTCGTGTGGTATGTTGAATGCAGTGTTTGTTTGAATTAGATGTTTCTAATGTCCAAATACAAACTCTATAGTTTCTTAAAAATTAGAAACTTAAATTACCAATATTGACAAGCTAGAATCTAGTATAAGAACCTCCTATCTTTTCTATTTGCTTTTTTTATACCTATCACCCCACTGCTCCTTCTAAGCATGTACCTAGTTCCTAAATCCCATTTCCTTTCCTGGTCATGTTAGTTTAAATATTTAATTTTTACATTATAATTGTGTCATTTCTGTACATCATGAATTTAATACTTCATAATTCAGTGGTAAGCTGCATTTTTAAGAAAGTTGTCTTTATTTTATTACTGAAGTTTGTATGTAAAGAAAGAAGGATGCATATTGTAAATGTATTTGAGATTTTTGTAAAACTGTGAAACTTTATTTATATAAGTGTTTTGCTCAGCATTTTTGTATTTTTTTCTTTAAAATATATATACATATATATATATATATGTCTGTGTGTGTGTGTGTTTTCATATGTACTACAAAAAGTTAAAAACAACTCTGTACACTTGATGTACAATGTAGCAGGAAATTATTTTCCTTTGGTGTGTCTTTATTGTTTCAATAAAAACTTAAAGGTACTACATCATATTAAAATACTAGTAGATATACATATTTGATAAGATTTAGATTTAAAAGAAATTATAAAGAAAAATGAAACAAATGAAGAGAAGTAGAAACAAAAAGTTAATCGTGAAAGTTCATTAAAATGTAAGAGACCTTTCAGAGCATAAATTCAGTTAGAATGGAAGAAGAATACATCATTAACAAAAGCTTACAGAATGTAAAACAAGAATTACCAACAAATTAATTACTTTTAACCTTATGGATTGTTATAAATACCTGAAACATTTAAACTTCAAATAATTGTTTATTTCTCAATAGGTGAGCCAAAATTGTATCTTGATTTAAGCCTAGACACTCCTATTACTCCCCACCACCAGTGTCCAAGGTTTGTAAAATTTATGTTCTCTTGTGCTTAAATTTGTCTATAATTTTTTACAATTACCTTTACCTCTGTGATCTTTCAACCAATTGAATTTTGAGTTGTTTGTTGATGTGATCTTCACATTCAACATGCTTTACAAGCAGCTTATCTTTAGATAATATAAAAATTGTAGTTTATACTATCTAACAAACCTCTTGCTATAACAAGCTAAGAATTTCAACTTTGTGCTGTATCAGCTTTGATTACCACAACTTGGCTCATGGCCAAAAAAATGTTACACAGTATACATTTTTGTGATAGAAATGTTTAACACTCATTGAAAAACAAAGTGACATTAATTAAGTAGTTTTTTGTTCAATACCTGCTGAAGAGGGTTGCGGAAGTTATATTTAAACAATTTTGGAGTCTCACCATGTCATTAAAGCTCATGTCACCACATCTGGTCATGCTTTGTCTGATGACCATGCATCTTGACTAAAGCCCAACAGCATAGTTTCCATTGGAAAGGCTTTGTTGTAAGACTGTCACATAGGTTGTGGAAAGTATCCAGGAAAAGCACACCACTTCTTCCTGGATGCTTTACACAACCTATCTAGTGTTCACTGATAATGGTTTCCAGCATTATGTTTCAATAGTTTTGTCATATAGATATCCTTAGGTGCTGCTTCTACCAACTTGACCAGTATGTCATCATATGGAATAGCATCATTACCATTTTCATTCACCAGCTGTTTGAGGTATGTGACAATTGAAGGGAAGGTGTTACTGGAAGCACTATTTTGGTGAACCCATATCCTGTTGGCCTTTTTTCCCCATACAAAACCAGTATTTTTTTGTGATACAGAGGACCCAGAACATTGGTCTGATAGTAAACAGAGTTGATCTTATATTTTGTATCCACTGTTCTAATCCCTAACAGTTTGATTACACAGGAATCCATAGGTACTGCTTCCATTGACTTAACTAGTAGGTCTTCATATGTAATAGCATGAATACCTGTTCCATTCTTCACCTGCTTGAGGTATCCAGTGTTTGAATGAGAGGTATGACTGGAAACATTATTTTAGTGAACCTATACCCTTTGGCCTCATTTCTGTATGTTTTTATGTGGTACAAAGGGTCCAGCACAATGGTCTAGTAGTGAGAAGAGCTCTCCTTGACTTTTTTATCCACTTTCCTGATCCATAAATTGCCCCCAGCTCAGTATCCACTGATGATTATCGAGGTCTTTTGGAAATTTTTTCATCCATTGACTGGTAGAAAATAGCATAAGATTTGTTATAGTTATCAAGGTACTCATACACTTTGTTGAGTGTTATCACTTAATACTATTTATTTCTGGCTATGTACCATTCATATAGTTTTCTGCAGATAGGTTTCTTTTTCTTGAATATGTCATGGAAGCATCTTGAGTACCACTGACTTGTGTTAGTTTTCTAGATGAAGGTCCTTGTTGATTATGTTACCTACTGTTGACTAGGATGCTAATCTTTGTTTTGTGGGCTCTCATCTGTTACAAGACACTGCATTTTGCCTACTACTGCTTGGGTATGACTTGTAGTAGGTCTTTTTCTGGAAGTCTTAGTTCCCCAAGTTGTTCCATACTCCTTTGTTTTTGAATACCATTAATTAAAGAAGATATCCCCATCTTGAAAATTCGAAATCCCTGATGTTTCTGAACTGAGTGTATGAATATTTTGTGCTGGAAAAGGCTCTTATATACCTTCCCAAAAGCAGTTAGTTTTTGGTAGCATCACACTTCCTACAAAATGCTGAACAATGTCAGAATGTAGCTCTGATGCATGCCATTCCAGAGCACCTTTATATCAGCTGTGATTGTCACATGATTTGCACATTCAAAGTCATTTTAATATAACAGATATGCAACAAGGCAACTTAATTCATTATTTTTTTTTTTTGTGGCAAATACATTTTTTTAGCTGTGGCATAGCAGCTCATAGAAAGACTGTGCTTTTTTCAAGTACAAACTTTTAATGCCATGTTTTATTTTTTCTTATTGTGCTTCTCCATGAGTTATTGCTGTTTGGAAGGATTTACTTTGTATTGTGTTAGCAAGTAGTACAATAGTCTCACCAGCATCTTTCTGGAGTGAGGTTTCTCCCTATTTGTTGTGTAAAGCCCATATTTTTGCAGCAGTTCATTAATTATACAATTGTAGATATGGCAGAATAGAAAGTGATACTTAAATAAGTAAGATCTGGTTATTTATAGTGGTAGATCAGATATAAATCATACTCTTCTTTTAGTTGAGTGTTATAATTATTTTTTTGGTTGTTATCGATGAAAATGAATTTTGTAATTTGTAAAACTTGTTAAACAAAATAGTTATCTTTTTTTTTCTATGTTATTGAAATTCACTCTACCCCAGCAAAGAGTGTGTAGAGCTGTTTTGGTATACTCTGGGGAATGAAGTTTGGCTTGAATAATGAATTAAGGATATTTGATAAGTAAAACAGCATTTTAATATGTTAATAAAATATAAGGTTTCTGAAGGAATAGCATATAAAATGCAAAGACATTGTATAAAACTATATTACATCATTTGACATTTAGTTAATAATTAATTTCATAGTTGTTTTTTTAGCTTGTAAGATAATGACAACCCGAATACCTCTATGTATTGTAGAGTTAATTTGTGTTTTAATATAGAGAAGAACGACATAGAAGAAATGATGTATCCCGAAGGAAACTTATGATAAAATTAGTATTCAATGAAAAGGAGGTTTGCACAACTGTTGAAAGGTAATTTTAAAAATCAACATGATTGTGATTGGAGCAGTGTCTATGTTTTAAATATTGTAAATGTACATGGAAGCTGATTTAAACTTTTAAAGCATGGTTTGGCAGAAATTTATCCATATCAAGTGTGGGACATCCGTAATATATTTAAAAATACATTATCTTTTTACTAAGCCATTTAAGACCAAAATTTGAAACTTTAAAGTAATATACATTTTAATATATAATATTCCGTAATGAAACACTTGTTTTAATATCAGTATATACTGAAGTGTTCTGTATAATTTCAGATTATATCATGGATATCAGATATATTTAATGTGATTAAGACTGGAAGCATTATTAATTCAATAATTGAATAAAAGACATAAGACTTTCTACATGCAATTAAAGAAGTTGTAATAATACATATATATACAGGTTATTTTGTAAAAAAAAAAAGACTCGCCAAAAATTTCTTAAGAATTCCAAACTTTTATTTTTGGAACTTCCACTGTGCTCCTGCTACAATTATCTTCATGTTAGTATTAGGCTCTATCTCAAGTTTCCCTCAAGGAGAATATATTTTTTTTTACAACATGCTGTTATAATTTGATTTGGAAATAAGATAGGTTTTAATAAATTACAGCATGAGTATAAAATTATATGTAATTGATTAGAAAAGTATTTGATTTTTCAACAAAGGTAGGAGCCTGAAATACCCTGTAAATTGGGCTCTTGCTGTTGGGAATTGGAAAAAACTGGATGGGCAAAGTTCTGCTTGGATGAGGCAGTAGGTTAAAACTTAATAATGTATATTATACATTAGTTACACTAATTGTTCCCTCAAAATATCAAAAAGAATTATTTACAATTCTGGTATAGTTTTTGTATAATACCCTCTAAAATATACTTTGTGGATGAGCTCAGCCAGAGCAGTTTTTGCAAGTTAAGTAACACATATGTCACTGGATTGCTCTCCTTATCCTCTGTATGAATGAAAAAAAGAATATATTTGATGAAAGAACCTGAGTATTTTCAAAAGTTCTGGAAAAAACTAGGGCAGCTGAAAAGAAATCTTGTACCAAGATGTTTCACTTTTTCAGTGAAGTTTCCTCAGTTGCTATGATTGTGCTTATAGTATAGAAAAAAAAATTCTGGATGTGCATATTCCAGTCTTGATGGGGATGTTAGTTTAAACTTAATGAACACATACCATAAGCCAGTTAATTTCTCTGGTGGTTTACTATAAATATCAAAAATAGTTATTCTTGAGTCACTTATGTTTTTCTCCATTGGTGTTAGTTTTGAAAGTTTCAATTCTGATTTCAAAACAAAAGGCATTAGAGAGATAAGATAAGCCTATTGGATTGCAACTTTAAATATTCTTCAACCTTTTGGAATAAATCTAGATCTTGGAATCAGTGATTTTCCATCATTACTTTGTTTTCTGTTAGAAAAATTCAGTTTTTGTTTGTTTATGTATTATGAATTCTCAGTCTATACTCCTCATCTTTTTTAATACTTATTAATCAATTGTGATAATTTTTGGATGATTTTTTAGTTTTATCTGTTTAACATTCCTCTTTTAATCATACCTCACTTTTATTTTACTTTATTAACACTTAATGTAGTTTCTCTAGAGCATTTTTCTTTTTTAAAACAATAAATCTCTGACTTCTTTACACCTAACAATCTTGTTTCTGATAGTATTGCACCGGAAATAAGAAACACTTATAACAATACATTGAAAGCTACTGAAAACACTTCTGTATTTCCATGGTGGCCTGCAATAACATCACGTAAACTTCACATTATCTCACACTTTGTTTTACAAGATCATTTCTAGTTTGCCCCCTGAAGAAGAACGGTCCACCTTTCGAAAGCGCTTGGGTTTAGGGTATTGTATTTTTGAGTTAGATTGATTTCTTGAACATATGTGTTTTCTTAACATCATGAGACTTTGATTCAGATTAGGTTTGAGGGTATTTATGTTTTGTGGAAAATCAAAATAATTTAGTTTCTGCTGCTATATTAATAGATGATTTTTTTGTATAAATTGATTTTTAAAAGTTTTTACATTTAGTTTTTGCATATACAATTGTAATGATCTTATTATGTTAGCAATTTTACATGTGAGATATTTTTTTATTTTTAGACCATTGTCACAAGAATTTACTGTTGTCTGGGGACAAATATTCAACTTGCAGATTTCTAAATGGTCAGGAAGCTTAAGACTAGAGGTAAAAAATACATTTTCATTCCAGTTGTTTAGCTTCTATGACCTCTTGCTTTATAATTTTCTAATAAAGTTTGTAACGAACATTTGAACATTTTATATCAACAATTTTAGGTGTCCAGCTTGCAAAAAAGAAAAAAATTATTTGTGCAAGTTATTTTGCACAATATTAGGAATTGAAGCAGTTTAAATATTCAAAACAGGCAGATTTTCCTCTGAAATATGAAAAGCCTTTCCTTATTGAATTAATCTTATACTGTTAATAACTATGTAATTAAAGTTCTAAATGATATTGACATAATGCAGAGCATACATCAGTTTATCCACAGTTCTCCACTTTTCTACATGACTTACTGTACTGTCCCCTGCTGGGACAACAGTAAGTCTATGGATTTACAACTCTAAAATCAGGGGTTCGATTCCCCTCAGTGGACACAGCAGATAGCCAGTTGTGGCTTTGTTATGAGAAAAACACTTATAGTACCAGCATCAAGAGAATGTATATAAGCTCTGCTTTTGTGCCATAAGTCAGATATTCTTTTTGACAGTCATGCTCCTAACTTCACTCACTATGAATTCTGAAGTTAATATTTATTTTGACACAAATGCTTCCACTAATACTGGAAATTGTTTAACTTTTTTGGAGGCTTTACTCTAGCCTACAAGAGATTTTGTGGATGCACTGTAAGTTTTATTGATCAGTGTATTTGGACTGTTAATGCTGAAATCTCTGCTGCTGTCCCTTTTGGGTTTCATGATCAGTTGGATGCTAGAATTGTGGAACACCCACTATTTTCTCATGATCATGAAAAATATTAATATCTGCAGAGCAAGATTTATCTGCTATCTCTGATCCTGATGAAGCTTCTGCTACTGTGAGTTATCTTTTCTTTAAGGTTTGCTCTTTAAATATTGAACCAATTTCTGTCATGCCTGAGGGTGCCAGTGTAATGGTAGGTTATTCTGTTCTTGAATATTTATATTTTTAATTTTCTTCTGATATTTGGGTCATTGCGAATGCTTTTATAAATCGGCAAAATGCTAATAGTCTTCATGTTCCTAAATTTATCATGCAGGTGACCTTTCATTGGGGTCTTACTCCTCAAGTTCTGGACCCTCAGAGCACTGTGATTTGTTTTGTTTTAAAACTTTCTTTGTCTTTGCAATTATTAGGTGTTCTCTTTCTCCTTATTCTTTTTATCAGGAATAAATTTCTACCTTGCAGTCTTCTTTAACTTCAGTACTCACTGAAATAGTTTCTATTAACCATGTGACTTTTATGTTTCTTTGGTAATTGAGCCTGTTGTGCTGTGTTGCAAGGTACACATTTGTCCTGAACATCTCAGCTGACCTTGAAAGAGCTTCTTTCATGAATTGTTTTCTCTCTGAAGGAATTTTACTCAAACTAATTTCTTATTCAGGAAAAGTACATCAGCAGATGCTGAATGGATTTTAGCTTTTACCTTTTTTACTTCTGGTAGTCATTCCTCTTCAAGACTACCAGCAAGTAATGCTCATCCTCTTGCCATGCTTTCTACTCAGTTGACTTCTGCTACTTTTACTTGTTCCTTTTGACTCTACCGAGTGTCCAAATGTAGAAGTAGTTATAATGGGACATCTCAACCCCCTCATTGATTGTTTTCTCTGCTCCCTGGTGGCTCAGTAGTAAGTTTGAAGGCTTACCTGGGTTTCATATCTGTGGTGGGCACAGCACAGATAGCCCATTGTGTAGCTTTGTGCTTCACAACAAAGAAAGAAACAAACAAACAGTGATTGTCTTCTACCCTTGAATGATATTGAGAGGTCATCTTTCATTATTTTCTCGTCTTTGGGACCCTTGGCTTCAAGATTATGTTCAACAGATCCTTTAGTTCAGGCTTAATGTTCATTTTCATCATTCTGTTCACTAATGTTTTTTTATTTTTCTTCCAATCTAGCTTGCTTACAATTCGTGAATCAGAAAGTTTCAATTTTCCCTAAGGAAAGAGCAGTCAAAATCGTTTATCATGCTTCTTGGTTTCTACTCTCATCTCTTTCTCAACTCAGTCTTTACCTGGAGGCACCTCATTTCAAAGTAGAAAACATGAGGTTGTTGCTATAGTTTCTTTGTTGTGGCCTTTGGATGATGAAAGTGGATATACACAATACTTATATTCATGTCATCTGTCATTGTGTAATTTTCTTTGTTTTGGTCATCAGGGAGTGGTTTATCTATTCACTGCCCTTTCTTTCAACTCCTTTCATTTCCTATTGATTAGTCAAAGCACTTTTAAGTGAATGATCATGTTATTCTGACTCTTTTTGCCTACTGAGTCACTTGTATACACACTCTCAGTTGAAAACACAGTTGGCTACATTTTTTGGGTGATTGTCCAGAAATCCTATTTAGTTCCTATACAGTATTTGGTATAACTGGGGTTTTGGATCAACACAGTTAAAGAACTTTTTGTCCATCTCCTATGGCATTGCAGTTCTTACTGTCTCGTTTACATACTATTCTGTCTTCCACACCCACTGCCAAAGATATCCTTTCTGCTTTGGAGACAATGGATTCACTTCATGAATTATAATCCCCTTTGTGACACCTCCAATGGAACTTGCTTTTCAATGCTTTCTGACTTCAGACCTGTTGTTCTACAGTACAACTATTTCTTCCTTCAATTTCAAGTTTCTCCAGATTTGGTTGAATTGAGCATTTAAGACAGCAGGATCTCCATTTTTTCTCATTCTGTAAACCTTTATCTTTTTACAGATGCCTCTCTCATGGGTTGGGATATTGTGTTGAAGAATCAGCTTCTTTCTGATTTTTGGATTTCTCAGGAAGCAATTCTTCACAGTAACATGTTAGAATTTTGATTTGTTAAGCATAGTTTTCACACGTTTCTGCCCATTCTATACCACAATTCTGTTTAAACCTTATGATGAATTACACTTTTCAAATTTTGTTCTGGCAACATTGATAAATTGGCTTGTGCAGTTGATCAATATTGTTTACTGTGATATTCCTTTACATCTTAAAAGTGGATTTCATTTTACTTCTCACCAAATTTGGCATTTGGTAATGTCTTTGACATCTCACTTGCAGTAACCTTTAGAGGACATTTTATAGGCTGATATCCGGAAAAATTTGACTATGTTGTTAAAATTTTATTTATGTCACATTGCTGTCTCTGCAGCTTTAGGATCCTATTTTCTTCTTGTTGTGATCTGTCAAACCAAATGAATTTCCTAACAGGCAAGTTATTCTCTGTTACTATATGATGTCTCATAACATATTCAGTATTGTAATTGCACTGTTTAACAGTTGTTGAGCTCATCTTTGGGTCTGCCTGGTCTTTTAACTTCTCCCTGTCTGCCTGCTGACTTGGCCAACTTCTTCAGATCTGTGTGTAAAGAACCTTCACCCCACTCCTTAGCTATTACTGATCTCTTCCTGCAAGAATTTTCCACTACAGGTAAAGGACAGTGTTTCGTGATCTTACCCTAACTGCCTGTTATTCCACTCATGTAATCACACCTGAGAATGTACATGGCTTCACTGATATATACATACCACCTTTACCCCTTTTATATATATTATCTAAAAGGTTCTTAGGGTGATGAAGTACCCTTCTGTATATAATACCTTTTTCTGAGTGTTCTCATTAGGTCTAGCCTCTAATATGAGGCTGTTCCACTCTCATCAATTCTCCCATAAATTTAGTTCATTGACTTTTAATGTAGTTGTGGATTCTACTTAAACTCTGACTGATACCACCTTTCAGTTGTTGTGGTCTAGTTGTTAACTTCCTGCCTAAGAACTGAAATTTGGGTGTACCAATTATTATTATTCATATTAATAAAAGCTATGAAAGGATATGACCTTGAATGACTTTGTTGATATTGTCACAGGTTATGCTCACAACAGCTCATTATTTGCCACTAACAATTATACCTCTCTTTAATTACTTGCCAGTCCACAGTGTTTTGAATCATCCAGTATTCTGATAAATGTGTTTAATATTACTCAAAATTATTGTACTAACTTTACCCAGTAAGATATTTATGGCTGTGATATTCAGATTCACTGATCTCCAATGGGTAAGTAATAAACAATAAACAACAGATTCAGTAAATGTTTTGCAACAAATAAACCAAACACAGAGAAAAAAGGAAAAGACTTAAGCACATACATAAAACAAAAAGAAACAAATTTGGTTTTTCACAAAGTCACCAAGTTACTGGAGCCTTATTGACACTGGCTGACATTTTTTTAACTTGAAAACTGTACTTTTGGAGCAGAAAGAGTCAGAAACATCTTTACTAACAATTGACCAAAGAATTGTGTGCATATCACACTTGTAAGTTAGGCAAAAGTCATAGTGTGGTACCCTCACAGTTCTAGATTACCTATGTTAATGACAACTTCCACTATACTGATTTTAAAATAGATTAACTCACTGCTCAAACTTATTTTTTCTTATATACATTTTTTGAATGGATAGGTTACCTGAGATATCATGACAGTTTGTAATTAAAACTCATGTTTTCATTTGTATTCAGTGTAATTCGTCTGTGAATGAGAAGACATCACATTTGAAATAACACTATAAATAAGATATTTTTAAACACGTTACATCTTGAAATCATATAATAGTTTTACACACTACAGTTGTACTTTTCACAATTAATCAGAAGCATTATTTTGTAAAACTGTGAGCCAACTTATCTTACTTCAGAATTCTATAACAAGAAAATTATTTGAAATACCAATATACATACATACACAGTGTGGTCACAAGTAAATAGACATCACCTTTTCAGAAAAAATGAAATTTTTCAGTAATATTCACATGAATTGATATATTTATAATTTTATTAATATCTAGTAGATCTTCCTTTCGCTTCATGGAGTTCGTTGATCCTTTGGGGCATCGTGAGAATCATCTCGTCAATTTTAGATCGTAGGATTTTCTTTTTGCCCACTCTTGCTTCAAAACTTGGAGTAGATCGCTCTTCGAAGTTGGTTTTTTAGTTGTTTCTTGACTTGCCAGTCGAGTATGGACCAGAGGTTTTCGATAGGGTTCATGTCAGGAGATTGGCTTGGCCAGGGCAACTTCTGGATACTATTTTCTTCCTGCCACTTTTGGGTGTTTCTAGCAGTGTGACACGATGCTCCATCTTCCTGGAACAATGTTTTGTTCTTGTCCACGAAACCCGAGGAATAAAGTGGTAAGAGTCCTTCCTCCAATATTTCGACGTATTTCACAAAATTTATGTTGCCAACCTCCACTAAGCTCGATTTCCCACCAACCCAAACAGCTCCCCAAACCATCACACTGAAACCACCATGCTTCACAGTTGGCTGCAATCTGTTGAGCCAAAACTCATAGTGAGGCATTCTCCAGACCCACATCCTTCCACTGTCCGAAAATTGAGCGAATCTTGATTCGTATGAGAACAATACGGTCTTCCAAAAGTCCAAAGGCTTGGTCATCATATCACTTGCCCACTTCTTTCTTCTGACTATGTTGGAAGGTCTTAATAAGGGCTTCCATCTAGCTGCTCTGCAACGATAATCCAATCTGTGGAGAATCCATTGAACAGATTTCGGGCTCATCCCACCAACTTTGGCCACTTCTGCAGTCATTAATCTGGGATCCATTTTGATGTTCCTCTTGACAGCCCTTTTTGTCCTCTCCAATGGACCAGGATGCCCCGGACGCTGCTCAGTTGTTTCCTTGCCATGTTTCCTGAACTGCACGATGATTCTGTTGACTGTCGAAAGCAGGATTCCCAAATTCTGCGAAATTTGCCACTGACTTATTCCACCATCTGCTTGACCAACTATCC